TAATAAACTGATGGTCTTGGCGGCACATAGCAACAGCCATGCTTAGAACATTATTCCCTGCCCTTCGACGTAGCTGAGCTTTGCGAGTACAGTGAAGACAGCTTCAAGCAAAGTAACACACGATGTGTAGGCAGTGAGCTGAACTTGAGTGAGGAGGCGCGAGTAAGAGCAAGTAAGAGCAAGGATGGGTCCTGTGGCACAAAGTTGTCTACGGTCTTGGAAACACAATCCTGGAAGCTTCCATACGTGTGTTCCGTAGGCTTTGTACTAACTCGGCCCAGGTGTTACTTCCCCAGAAAATAACTTCTCTAAAGGGCCCACTCTATTTCCTGGATGCTGGGACTCCACACCATCTAAGGCCTCTTTTGTCTCTACACTGTTTCTCCCAAAAGAAAACTAACTATGCGTCTAGGGCTCATCTGGAGCACCCGGAAACAAGGTTCCTGGAGCCAGCAGTTGAAGGCCAGGAGAACCTTCAGACACTGGCCAATGGACCCACGCAGTTGGGACCAGTGGTCTTGAGCAGACCCAGGCTTCATTGATGGGCCCCCATCCCCAAATCTCCAGGGAGATAGACAAATGCTCACAGATTATTTTTTCCCCACAACTGTCAATTGTGCCTAAGAGGGCTGAACTATGAAAGCTTACCTACCAGCAGGAGTTATCACTGCAATATATATATATATATATCAAACTGAAGGATTTTTGAAAGGTTACTTGCTGCGGAAAATGTATTTAACCAACATATATGCATACAGGAAGTCTCTTAACACTGCCAACTTTAATTACAAAGATGAAATATATAGATAATACACTAAAGTGCTATTATACACCATTCAATTCTTTTGCATATTGTAAGAAGAAAAATGTAGATCATATAGTAAATTAGCAAATGCACAACATGGAAATTCAAATCCACAGAGTCTGAATATCTAAAGTAAAGTCATATGAGGGGCGCCTGGGTGGCTCAGTCGGTTGAGCCTATGACTTTGGCACAGGTCATGATCTCATGGTTTGTGGGTCTGAGCCCCACGTTGGGCTCTGTGCTGACAGCTCAGAGCCTGGAGCTGTTTCAGATTCTGCATCTCCCTCTCTCTCTGCCACTCCCTCCCTCGTGTTCTCTTTTTCTCTCGAAAATAAATATTAAAAAAATAAAGTCATATTAAAACCTGATCTTCTATGGAGTAAAGGATTTGCTTATAACTGAAAAAGTCTCTGACTTCTGGATTTAAACTCAGACAACCAATTTTCATTCAATGATTTTCACTCGATCAAGAGTTTGCAAAAGAGTATCAAGAGTACCTGTGTGTACTTCAGTAGCTTTAAATGTCAATTATCTTGCAAAATTCAAAATAAATCTCTTCAGCCTAGTTTGAATCATGCTGGAGGTTACAATGCATTGTTTGACCCTCCAAGCAGTAATGTGAGATTTCAGGAGGGAAAGAGCACCTCTTTGGAAAAAATAATTCAAAAATTTTAGGATGTGATTGAAAAATAAGCAAAGCAAAAGGGTTTTCAAAGTTTTAAATTACCAAGTTCCCAGCTGAGGTATTGGTTTCCCGCAAGCCCACAATTTTGCTGATGGTATATTTATACTGGGTGCAGTGCAAGAGATGACTCGCCAAATCTCATTCATAAAGTGTCATAAGGATACAAAAAAAGGCATTCCTTGGCCTTTCAGTCTCTCATTACTTATACTTTGTGCTTAAAACTAAACACAGTAAATGCAAAATATAAAAATAAACAGTGGTCCCTGCATTGAGGCAATATGGATGAGAAAAGTGTAAACACAAAATCAGAGAAATGTAAACTTGAAGGTTTTCACAGAACCATTAATTCCCTCTGCACATATTGGAAATATTTAGAATTGCCAGTTAAGCTTTTAAATATACATTTTCTTAACAAGAGAGAAAAGGTTGGGCGTATTCATGTTTTGATAATCACCTTGACTTTTCTCTTTTTCAAATTATGCTATTTGGATACGAACTGAAAACCACATCAGTATTGATCGTTATAGTTAATGAAAAATAGCTCTGCTATTGTTATTTCATAACCAGCAGGGTCTGGGTAATAAAATTTCATGTAAGTGCATTTTGCTGTCCAACAGTGTTACTAGTCAAAGGACTGCAAAATCTTCTGACATTTATAATGCTCTCTTTCCAGATGCCTCAAATGACTGCCTACTTCACTTCCAAAGGATGTGGGATAAAGCGTATCAGATGAAGTCTACCAGTCCCCGAGTCTCTTAAGATGAAGCCATCAGAGATTCTAGGAACGATATCTTCAAACAGGATACCCTCAGGCTTGATTTCCAAGCTGAGGGCAGATACACAACTTCAGACTTTGAAACTGTGTCTAGAATAGAATGTTAAGGATAGGAGGGGCAATGTGCGAGGGTGTATGGCATGGAATGGGAATAGGGCAAGGTAAGATGGCAAAGCTGGGCTGCAGAAGACTGCCCTGACCACAGCATCTTTGCCAGGGATGGGAGGGAATACTTGTATCTTCACGCTACCTCAGGATCACTGTTTCCTTGCAGAAGTCAAAGGCCTTCCTGAATTTTTCATGGAGATATGGGCCTAGCCACATCCAAGAGGTCAAGCCACAGACAAACACAAGACTTGCCCACCCTCACCCTCTGCCCATGATCTTTTAACCTCTGCCCCCTCCAGCTTAGTGAAAAATAACACAGAATAAACTAACGCTGAAGGAATAATCTCTTCCATTTTATTTGGAAGACAGAATGTCATTGTTGGTCTGCCATGGGTGACCGGTAGTATATGAAGGAAAAATTTCAGACACAGGTTGAAGGCTGACTTTTGTTCTCTTTCCGTTTCAGTGCCCATGGTCCATTAATCCCTGCTCGGGGGGGGGGGGGCGCTCCAAAAACAAAACATTAGGAAGGCAGGGCCTTTCATAGGGGCTGGTATATTTAAGGGCACAAACTATTTCCTCAAATCCTTTGGTACCCTTGAGCTGCACATTTCTATCTCCACTGTCATGCACCTCCACTAACATGCATCTGTGTGCACACACGTACACATGCATACACACACACACAATACACACATATACACTTCTTTAGAGAACTTATTGGAGCACATCACTCTGAGGATAGAAAGGACAGGATACTTGAAGATAGGATCCTTGCTACACTATGATGATGCAGCAATGATGACCAGCACTAGACTGTCTTTCCATGGACCCTCCCACTACTCCCCCAAGCCCCACCAAACACACCTTCTGATACGCTGCCTGTCTTGACCACCTATATTCAGGGCCTCTCAGATACAATCATACCCAATATTAGTCCTTAAGAATCTCTAGACACTTTCTTTCCCGCTAAAAATTTCCTTGGTGTGATGACTGGTTTGCTGAAATGGTCTTAGGCCAAAAGAAACAAACAAAACAAAACAAAACAAAAACCATCCAGGACAATGACGACTGCTTTTCACATTGATGGGAAGATGTGAATGGCTAGGGGAAATCCACCGTGGTGCCCTTCTTTTCCATCAGACCACATCATTAATGTGAAGACAATGTGGCCTCTACCTCTGTCGATCCAGTCAATGCTAGGGTTGATCCAGCGATCTGCCCGATCTTACCTCTCCCTGGGAACTACAAGCTACATGAAAGAAGACAATCTTCCCTGAGAGAGGAAATGTTAGTCTTTAATTAAGGATGTACAAGTAGTGTAACTGCCATATCATAAACCTCAATTAATTTGTAAACGTGAGGCTTAGCAATCTCATTTACCCACCTGCCTTCTGGCACATCTAAACATTGGGTTTACCAGTTGCTCTTCAAGGACTCTTTTCTTGGACCATATAGTTTAAATAAAGTAGCTTGGGTATATGCAGGTAATCTACCAAGCTAGTTATTCATGGAGACACCGGTGGAGGAAGTAGAGGAAGACTTACATTCTGAGATTTCATCAGAGATTTTATGGGAAGAGTTTCAATGTCAAATATCTGGATAATGGAAATTTTTATATATCTAAAATGTGCTCAGTTTCTCCCAATCTGATGCACAAAACTAAACAGCACATAGTGCTGGTCTCAGAGTAATAGATAAAGTTTAGACCAAGACCTAGGTTGGTTTTCTGTAGAGTTTCATAAACATGAAACAGACCATGCCTTCTGTATACATGGTCATGAATAATCAGTCCGGCCTCAATCTGCTCTCAGGCTTCCTTGAAGCATATGATATGTTGGTTTTACCAATATAATACTAATACATAAAATACCAAGTGAAACAGACATTGTCTATTTCCACTGGGAAATTCATTCATTTCTTCCACAAATATTTATTAAGCATTAACTATGTGAGTGCATTGTTCTAAGTGCTAAGAACACAACAGTGAACAAAATGAACACCCCCCCAGACCAAACCCTGCCTGTCACTGCAGCACTCACTTTTGACTGAGATTCTCAAATGCAAGTTCCTAGAATTTTAGGAAGAATCTTCTAATTTTCTTGAGGCCTCAAATTTCTGAATAGGAGAAGGGAGGCTGATGGTGACACTTCTGAGCTAGGCTATAGGGAGGGGCATGTATCTATCAATATGCTGTTTGTTGTAAGAGGACAGAAAGCCAAACACAGACTTTCTCCTGGCTGGAGGAAGAGAGAAGAGGGCGTGGTAGCAGCAAGCAGCTTGGCAAATCAGTCATTCAGCACACATTTATGGAGCAACTATTAGAAGATACTCTGATCTACTAGTTGAAGAAGCCCTTTAGAAGACAATCCACTGCCACCATCTGATATTCTCTTGTTTGTAGAAGTTACTCCATGTCTAGGCATGTTCCCAAAGAGAACAGGTGGGTAATGGTGGGATAGAAGTAACTACATCTTTCTTTTCACCCCAGGTGGAGACATTTCCCACAAATATGAAATTTACTTATTAACGCGATGTGGAGTGGGTTTTGTAGGGCTATGTTCATGGCGCCAACGCTCTTAAAGTCAAGGTAACATAGGCTATGGTTAAAGCCACGCTGCTCTTACCATGACTGAGATGTGCAGGATCCTCAATTCCTCTTCTGCTGACTCATGCTGGGGTTCTTCAGTTGGGTCTTGTCCAGGGAGGCTGGGAGCGCCATCTTGGTGATGGATGTGGAAAAGCAAAGTGCCATTCTCCAGCCACTGCTGCCTCCAGCGTACCAGAGGAATGTCCTCTGTGTTTCCTGAGATCTCTAGAGGACAGACACCAAGGGCACAGGTCAGAATTCGGACTGGACCAATCTGAATCTTCTTATTCATCAACTTCCCAGACAATGGTACCCATTAGCCAGTGTCAGATAAAGACAACAAAGGGTTCCAGTGATGGTTAGGGTCAGGTTTCAAATCTCCAGGAAGGGAAGAGGCCCTGAGAAGGAGAGAATTATCTGCCCCCCCCCATCTTTTCCCCATAATCCAGTGAGCTGGACTCTTACCCATTGAGAAAAACACCAAGGTGAAAATTCAAGTTCTCCTCCGTATTTCTATGATCAATAGCATCCTCTACCCAGCACCATCTGAATACCCTGATAATCCCCAGAGGTAAATACAAGGTTGTTTGCCTCTTGTAAATTTGAAAATGTGAATTCCCTAGCAATTGCTTCTAGACACCAGCGAATCTACAAAGGAGAGAGTTGGTAATTACTGTGCAGAGAACTGGCACATCTGGAACCATCCTGGGAGGTTACTGCAGAGCCACTGGGGCCAACAGGATATTTCTAAAACCACAATCATTTGCAGCATAGCCCACTGGAGATGTGTAATACTCGCTGTGGCAGGGGTGTTTTAATTCCCTTTAATTTTACTCTCCATTTTTGCAGAGCAGAGGTGGTACACACGGAAAGGGTAGTGAAAAAGTGGGCACTGAGCACAGACGCAGGGCTTGAGATGGAGGCGCCAGACTATCATCAACAATTAATAACAAAATACCAAAAACCTACTATGCATTTCGAACATAGGTGCTAGGTGCTAGGCCTCTGGTACAGAAGTATGCTATTATGGGTCTCTTCTGCTAATATTCCTAAGCAAGATTGTATTGAATCTATGAGATAATTCACAACAGAGAGACCTGATTAGCCCAGCCTCTCCTAAACTTCATTTGGCCTCAAAATCATTTCTTCCTTAACAACTATTACCACCCTGGGGAACTAATATTCTGCTGAGCACACTCTGGCAATGCATTGCTTTATAAAAGTTCCTTTTATAAAAGGCATGGCTTCTTCTCCCAAAATTTATCACCTTTGACCAAATAAATAAATAAATAAATAGTTCCATGGACATAAAAAAGATTTAATAAGACACATTTAGAATAGTACTCTCATCAAGTACCATGCCGTAAAGAGGGAAGCAATTTTAAATATTTATGCAGTTTATAAATATCCTTCGCTATTTGTAGGAGGGCACAAATGATGTTCTGCTTTATTTATTTACTTATGTATTTATTCATTAATTGACTTAACAGATACTATTGTGCACCAAGCACTGTTCTAGGCACTGTGATACTAATCTAAATGAGGCCCTCAACAAGGTCTCCAGAGTGACCTAACCTGAACGAATGTGAATGTGGGAGGTGTTACACCGTGTATATAATGAGACCATGTGGAAACATACAATTGAAGAGTGGGCTTGCCTGGGTTGAGGGTGGAAGAGGGGGAGGAAATTTGGAAGAAGATATTGGCCTTGGGCACCAAAGGGTAGTAGACTTCCTTTTAACAGGGAGGGATGTGGAAAGAGGACATTCAGACACTGGCAGGCGAATTAGAAGGAGGACGAGAAAGAAGAACACTGGCTGGTCCTCCCAGGGTAGGTAGGTGAAAAGAATTCGTATGAGCTACAGGTCATCAGCCTGTCCCCAAAAGACACAGAGAGTATTCCCTACCTCTTCCTAACAACTTCCAGACTGGGGAGAAGAGTAAATGGGTGTGTGAGGGATGATGAAGGGGCAGCAAAAACAAGATGATCAGAGCCCCCCTTCATCCTCAGCCTCTCGCTGGGTCACCCGGCGCTCAAGCATCCTACCGGGATGGTGAGCCGCCCGTGCTCTGGAAGTGACCAGCTCAGGCAGCCAAGAAGCTGCAGTGGCAGAGGGTGTAAGAATGGAAGGTCCCCTGCATCTGGGTCTTGGTTTTCTGCAGGCACAGCCCCATTTGTTAAGTGAGGCAGTGGGTGACACGGGACCCCCAAGTTCACCTTTCCTCTGTGGTGGCCCTCCAGACTTACAGGTAAAGAGAAAACCTTGGGTGTGCCTCCCAGCAGTGGCCACACAACACGTCATTGCAAGGGCCCAATCACTAGCTACCGCCCAACCATGGGTCAAGCCCCAGGAAGATTCCTCCTGGGAAGCACATCCCTCTCCCAAGTCCTTTCCCTGCCACCACAAGAGAGACCAAACGGTCTCTCGCCATGGACAAAACTCACAAGCACTAACAGCTTTTAATAGAGCACCCAACACCATAATTCAATCACTCAGAGCAACACACGTTCAGCCTCCTACCCACACCCACTCTAAGCCAGCCTGGGATCAATTCCATACATGCTGGGTGCCACATCAGCCTTTCCTGTAACTCTCTAGAAGGAATCTAGCACCTCATACCTCCAAAGCACTTAAAACAAGATAATTGTTTCCCCGGAGACTCTGATCAACTAGGCCAGGCTCATTACCTCCGTTTTTAGTGTGGAAGCAAGGACAAGTAAACACCCAGATCAAGGTCATGCCAGCCTGATACTGAACAGGTGATGAAACAGATGAAGTCCTATCAGATCCCCTCCATCCCCAACACACACCAGACAGCGTGACCTTCGCACAACCACGGAGAGAGGGAGCAAACATTTGAGTATAGAGTGCAAGTGGTCTCTTAGCAGGTTTTGAGAACCAGTATTTTTATTTATTGTGCAAAGTCTCAGTATTTCAGGATTTCTTTTTTTATTTTATTAAAAAACATTTTTAATGTTTATTTATAGAGACAGAGAGACAGAATGGGAGCAGGGGAGGGGAAGAGAGACAGAGAGAGACACAGAATGGGTTCCAGGCTCTGAGCTGTCAGCACAGAACCCGAGGCGAGGCTCAAACTCATGAACTATGAGATCGTGACCTGAGCTGAAGTCAGATGCTTAACTGACGGAGCCACCAAGGTGCTCCAAATATTCCATGACTTCTTTCAAAATTAAGATAGAATTCCCATACCATAAAATCTGTCCTTTCAAAGTATATAGTTCCATGGTGGTTTGTACATTCACGAAGTTGTGAGACCACCACCACTGTAACTCCAGAACATCTTCATCAACCCAAAGAGACACCTACATGTACTGGCGGCCCAAGACAATTTCTGAGGAGGAAGGCGTTCCACTCCAGCATCCAAGTGATGGTACCAGGAAACGAACAGGTGTGACAGGGATATTGACAAACGCTCCTACAGAGCGGTGAGCTGAAAGCACAGACTCTCTGACCCTGGCTTCCAGGCCAGCCCTCTGAACCCCTTTGTGAGTTATATATGCCCATTCCCAGGGACAGTGATATCTTGATTCTGCCCAGACCAGATGCATAGTAGAGGGCAAAGGGTGTAGCAATGAGAACACCATGCTTGCCCATGAGGGGGCCTGTCATTTTTTAAATTCAAGATGATTACAGAATGATGAGCTTTCTTCTTTGGCTTCTTTCCCTGTCCAGGCAGGATCTGACATGGGAGGGCAAAAACACTGAACCAGGAACTTATTTACTTATGCCATACCTGCCCTGGGTCAGCCAGTGAAAAACCACAGGGCACAGTAAATGCCTTGTGAATTTCATCACCCACGGAGTGGAGATCAGAGCTTGGAACATCAATGTAATCACGCTGGCCTGGATGTTAGCAGAATATCTCAAGAAGAAGAAATGCTCAGAAATTGCTTTACCAATGCAAGCCTTCCCCGAAACTCCCAAGAAGTATGTATGGGAAGTGATAGTTACCCAGGCTCAAAGCCTCCTGGGGGCTGTGAATGAGGCTTACCAGGACAGAAGCCTCCAGAGCCATTTCAAGATACCATGGGGGGAGGGGGGGGCTGAGCACCATTGCTGCCAGCACGCTGTGGGATTGAGATCTCCAGAAAGGTAAGGCTGCCCTTACTCTTCACGTGTCACTTCTTCCCCTCCACAAGCCCCCAAAGCCTCCACAAGCACTTCTCAGAGCCTCCCAAAATTCTGGAGCTGCCTAGAATACACAGAAACCAGGATGCCATTTATTCTTGTGTACAATGAAGATTTTTGGAGCACATTTTGGAGCACATCCACTTGCCACATTCAGCAAACTGCTATACGATCCCTAGCCTGAAAGAGCCTTTGATCTAGAAAGAAACTGAAGACATGGCCACGACTAAGTACTCTAAGCAGTAACAGCCATGCTGAGTGTTGGGGGTTGGCATCTGGCTAGACATAAGCCCCTAGGAAGGGATATAATGGGAAGAGACACTGGAGGCAACTCCTTATGAAGAGAACAATGGGTGCAAAGAAACAGAGGAGGATGCTTGTTTGCAGAAGGGCGGAGTTGGTGGAGACAAGTGGTGGAGGACCCAAGCCAGGAATGCAGATTGAGGTCAGGTATGAAAAGCATTCACATGACAGTTTAAGGAGTTCCGAGCTAATGGAAAGTCATCTCTGGTCTTATTAAGCAGAGAAGGGAATAAGGCCAGGATTTAGAAAGATCAAGAAGACTCAGAAAGAGAGCAGCAAACAGACTAGATTCTACCCCAGTCTCATGGTAACTCGGATCCTGTATTGTGCAGTGATGAAAATACGGAGCTGGAACTCAAGAGACCTGGGTCTGGAGTAGTCTTGACTGTGTTGCCTAGCTTTGAGCTTCTTCATCTGTGTAAGAAAGAGCTGTACACATGGGTTTCAAGGCCATCTTGTAACCTCACATCCCACGATTCTAAGTCCAGAAGAGTGTGCTTCACATGACTGCCTAGAAAGATGGTAATTTCCACGTGTCAAGAATGTCAGCTCTTCTCCCACTCTTCCCTACACTCCACCGTCCCTCTCCTTCTCCCTCTGAGCACAGGGTGGACAGGTTGGGGATGATTTCATCAGAGCCTTTAAGAGCCAGGCCCATTTTTGGACTGGACCCCAGCATGGGGAGAAAGGTTCTTATTCCTGCTGACACAGATATGCGGTCTCGAAGGAAGACATCTTGGGGCTTCTGCATATGCAATAGGAGAGCCAGGAAGATAGGTGAGCAGAGGCAGTCATGCTAGAGAATGATCTGGCATGTGGAAAGGCACAGTGGAGAGTGAGATAAAATCACTTTTATTTTTTTTTAGTTTTATTTTAGAGAAAGAAAGCTCAAGCAGGGGAGAAGCGTAGGGGGGTATGGAGGGAGGAAGAGAGAGAGAAGGAGAGAGGGGACAGTGAGCAAGAGAGAGAGAGAGAGAGAGAGAGAGAGAGAGAGAATCCCAAGCAGGTTCTGCCACACTCAGCACAGAGGCTGATGCGGGGCTCGATCCCACAAATGGTAAGACCACGACCTGAGCCAAAATCAAGAGTTGGACCCTCAACTGACTGCACCACCCAGGCACCCCAAAAATCACTGTTCAATTAACCTTAGTCATTGTTCTAATGTCAGCATGTGCCCTGTGAACTTGTAGCACTGTCTTTTTGGGGGGTTAGCTTAGGATACCCAAAGCTTGCTACAAAAATTCCTTTTCCAAACATAACAACTTCTCCCACCATCCAAGTGCCCTGCCCCTTCCACAGGTGTCCCCTCCCGCTGAGCATCCCTAAACTGAACTGCTAAGACAACACAGCATGTCGGCATCAGAATTTCCCCCAAAAGACAGCTTCACTGAACACCAGATCTATGATGCCCTCTTTCAAAGAATTTGGCAATTTCAAGTCAAATGTGGATTTGAACTGGGAAAATTCTCAAAGACCCTTTAATGCACTGAATAACTTAGAGTGGCTTAGAGCAGTCTTGGCTTTCTGGGCCCCTTTTTCACTCCTGGAAAGGCTGAGTTTCCAGCTAAACCCCGCTGAGTAGTAATGAGGTTGCTCAGGTGGTGAGGTCAAGCCAGGAGGAAGCATTCACTTGTCAACTCTAAGCCTCATGTTGAGGCACCTGATGAACTGATCCTACAGTCTTTCAAGATTGAGTGTGACACCTCAATGATGTGTCCTCAATGGCCACCTGATGGCCATTACTGACTGTTAGAAGACCTTGTTTGGATCAGGATTTTCAAACTTGCTGTTAATCTTAGAAACTCTTCCTCTAAACCAAACCTAATACAGCTTCTGAGGGGGTTTCCGAGAGCAGAGTCAGAAAAGAACTGGATGAATTGGAAAACAAATAAAATGCACTACCACG